CGATTTCCGCGTTCTTGGATTTCACGTCATTCCTGTGCAGGTCCAACTTGGCCCGCGAATCTGCTTGCATATTGAGTGACTTGAATTCCGAATTCAATGCATCTCGTTGCTCTTCCAACAGTTTTGTGCTGGCTATTTTTTCGTCCAGGCGGTCATCGTACTTGGCAGCCGCGATTTCCAATTGAACCTTGGCCAACCTGTTTTGTTTTTCCTCGATATCATCTGTCAGGGTACGCAGCTCCGCCGGGAGGTTTTGAATAGCGTCAAGCTGCCGTTCAGAAAGCGCCAACTCAGATTGGTGTTTGCCCTAATATGGGAATCGTAAGCAATCAAAAATGAAAAAATCTTGCGTCGTACGAGCTGGATTTGGAGTGAAGTCCGCTGCGCCTTGAACGCCTGCAGAGCGTTGTTCAGCTCTGTGGATTTGCGAGTGAACTCTTCATTCTTAGTTTGGCTTTCGCGCTACAAGAAATGTTCTAGCCGGCCCAAAAGTGATCAAGATATAGATTACCTGGAGCTCTTCGACTGTCGCCCGCTGCTTCCGATGCATCTCGGAAATCTTAGAGATGAATTCAACGACTTTTTCTGATTCAAGGCCGGACGACGCGAAGCCCTTGATTTTGAGCTTCTCGCTGGTTTTCTGAATAAGCTGCTCTCGCTCAGTTATCCGCTCCTGTTGGGCCTAGAGAAGGGTGTCAGCAATATTTACGTGTTGCATGAATGAAGGAATACCCACCTCGAACTCGGCCTTGAACGTCCCTTGCTGTTTCGCGAGTTCTGTGTGCAATTTCCGAGCGGCAGCTAGCTCTTCTTCAAGCCCCTGCTCCTTGTTCCTTTCTGCCGCGAGTCTGTCTCGATTGAGAAGAGCGTCACCGTCTGAGTTTTTCAGTTTCGCCTCAAGTTCAGCGTCGGTGCCTGCGATGTCTCAAGAAGTGTTTCTCCGGGTATCAGGTATGAAACTGACCGGGAATTTCCTGGAGATTTTCTCTGGCCTCGTCCAGATCCCGTTGAATATTGGCGATAATTTCCTCGCGATTTTCCACTCTTAGGTAAAGTTCGCGGAACCGGGTGGCGTAGTCATAGAACTTTTGGTTCGAGATAACGATTTCATCATAGGCTTTCTTGGTCTCGTCGTGCTCGACCTCTTTCGCAGCAATGGTCTGGTTGAGATCGGCTATGCGGGCTTTGAGCTTATCCGCGTGCGTTTTCTCGCGAAAGAGGCCGTCGAGGCGCTCCTTTTCGGCCTTCAAGTCCGCGACGCGGTCTTTGCGAAGTGATTTGATTGAATCCAGAGCCTTGGTGTACCTAAGAGACATCTGATGAGTTGAAACGTTCCGAAACTAATGCGTACTTTGTCGCCTCGAAAATGTCGTCGAATTTCTTCTTCAAAGCTGCTGGCTCCGCCAAAGGCCAATACGAATCCTCTTGATGGCAGAAAATGACGTTCTCAAGAACAGCCTTCGATACGCCGAGGAGTTGGGGAATCTCTGAATCCATTTCGGCGCACTTTGTGGAAATTACACCTCTCTGGTGTTCGTGAGTACGAATAAAGTCGAAGAAACTGAAACAGGCCGACCTTGCCACCTTTGTCAGAATTATTGTCAGCAAGAGCAAGAATGCTTTCGAGTGTCTTCATCGTCAGCCCAGCCGTCTTTTTAACGGTCACACTCAGATTCCGTACGGCCAGCATGCGCTGTCCGTTGGCCGCATGGAAGCGGAGCTTCACCTGCGCCTTGACCTCTTTCTCGTTCGCCATTTTCGGGTCGTGGATGAAGGCACCGCCGCGGGTGTTGGGCGGCTGGTCTCCGGTGGTCGCGTATTTCAGGCATTCAATGATAGTGGTCTTTCCGCTGCCGTTGTGGCCCACGATAACCGTGACTGGGGAGAAGAACTCTATGACTGAAATTTGCTTGTCATCGAACGAGCGAATGCCACGGATAGCTAGCTTATTCAAGGATGCCATGGGGCTTTTCTGCGTTCGTGCGAGCCAACCTGAATAGAAGGCAAGGTAGTGGTAGACGACAAGGGACTTGCCTCACCGTGTGGCGTCCTTGGAGAGCAGTGGTTAAGACGCGCGTGAAGAGAGGGTTAATCAAAGTCACAAAACGCGACAAGTCACACACTGGTCACGACATTTCTCACGGTCTAGTCTTTCCTCGTATCTGCCATCCTCTTGCCTAGTTTCGTTCACTGCACATGCAGCTACCAGAGGAATTGATTTGTGTCATTCTTGCGAAAGTCTACTATCGGCATCCACCATTCAACACCCCGGATTATCCCACACTCATCTCCTGCAGCCTAATAAACTCCTTTTGGACTGCGCCTGCCCAAACCCTGCTCTTCAGGCGCATCACAATCGACCGAGCGCAGGCATTCGGTCGATTCGCAGCTAGTATCCCTCGCAGTCCCCACCTCTCGTACGTCCGAACGCTAGCCATTTCTCTTTCAGACAAACCTCCCGATGACGAGCAAAGTACGACCTGTTCGGTGTCCACCTTGATTGCAATCCTCGGATGTTGCCCCAAACTTTACGAGCTGGGTATCAATGCCCGCGGTCTTTTTTCATTGGGTTCCGAGTCGTCATCCCGCATAGTGGAGGTCGTCCGCGCCACTTCGCTGTCCATCCGCTCGCTGCGGATGATGGAGTGCAGCGTCCAATCCCCCGTCCTCTACGAACTCCTTGCCCTCTTTCCGGGAGTGCAGTTCTTGACCCTCGGGGTGGAAATTGCTGCGTCTCCGCCGTCATGGACCCCTTCGTTCCAGCTATACGAGGTCACGCTCCACCGCACCCCTTCATCTCAGGTGCTCAGATGGCTGCTTTCCGCATCGTGGACCACGCTCCGCATCCTCGAACTGCGCGATCTGCCGAGCCCATATACACAGTCGGACCTCGCGATGTGCTGCCCGCATATCCAGTCCCTCCGCCTCATGCGTTATAATGCATCCACTGCCGCGATTCTGCGGCAGTGCACGAATCTATTGGAGCTGGTCCTTTCAATTGTTCCTACGTTCGTGTCTCTTCCGGACCTTCCGCCCTCCCTGGAGCATTTCGCGCTGTTGACCCCGACATACACCGCCAGCGTCGATCTGCAGCAGGTGATCGCTGCCGTCGACTCGCTCCCTTGCCTCCGCGTTCTCACCTTCATCGGGGACTCGCAGCTAAAGCAGCTTCCCCGGCTGAAGGCGGCTTGCGGTGCTAAGGATGTAGCCATGTGGACAACCGAGCAGAAGTTCTGGATTGTGTGTTTCATCGGCGATTCCTCTTGCGAGAAACTGATTGAACCTATTTCGCAGAACGATGACCCTGTGGTCGCGACGAGATTTCCTCGGCGCAGTCAATCGGTGTCTAATTTCTATCTCATGAATTGACCCAGGCGCAGGAATATGTACTTCAACTATTTACGTAACTCGCTTGTAACTGGCGATGAAGTTGTACGGTATTTGCATTCGTGTTGTATGCCAAATATGAACACACAGCCACTTTCCACTTTTTCGACTTCGCTTGAATGCTCTCCACTGTTTTACGCGCTGGCCGGCGCATTCCTCCCCGTTGTCTGCGCCATTTCTCTGCAACACCAACGGCTTCCGCGTCAACTTCATCTGTCGACCCTGCAGCCCCGCTTCTCCTCGGCGCTCCCGCGAACCACCGCCCAGATACCTCGTATGCACCCCTGGCCATAGGCTCCGGTTCAAGCACGCACGAAACCCAAGAACCCTCCCCCGAATTCGTCCCCCCACCCGTGCCGCAGCTGTCGGCTGACCACGGCCTGTACGGCTTCTTCCGGCGGCAGGCTAACCCCAACCTGCGCGGCGATGACCAGTACGAGACATTCGCGGACCCGACCATTCCCGCCTCTGGGCGCGCGTGGTTGGCGTCGGAGCTGCGGCTGAAGAGCTTCAAAGACCTCCACACGCTGTGGTACGTGCTCCTGCGCGAGCGCAATTTGCTTGCGACGCAGCGCGAGGAGATGCGGCGCATGGGTATGCGCAAGGAAAGGATCACGACTGGCGTGGATGCGGCACACGTGAGTCGCCCGTTCCCTGTCCGCGGCGTGGTCTGACGCACTCATTTTTCATAGTGCCGCAAGTCGATGGCCCGCATCAAGGCAGTGATAAACGAGCGGCGGTTGGCGTACGAGGGCGCGCTCGCGCTAGCGGAGGAAGAGCGCGAGGAAGCGACGGACGCCGCGGTGCTTAAGTTCCAGGTTAATACGGCGACGACGGAGAAGCATCGGCAGCGCGCGGAGCAGCTGCGGCAAAGACTGGTCGAGCCGGTGCGGACACATCGCGCCGGTGTGAAGGTGCAGGCCAGGAGAACAGACTCCAATGCGGTGCCCGAAAAGAAGGCGCGGTGGACAAAGGCGCAGAAGCTGGCGAACGCGCAGCACAAGCAGCGACAGGGCGAGGGTGCGCGCGGGCCCTCTCAGCGCCGGGTGCATGTAGCATAAAAGCGTGCATTAATGTAGCATTTTTTAGTTGGGCGGTCGTCTCTGGCGCTGCGCCTCGTCCCACTGTTGCATCTCTGCAGACACCCAGCAGTCCTTGACCGAACTGTCCTCGTACATGCTCACTTGGCGCGTCCCCGTGCGCAGGAGATGTTCAATGACGCTGACGGCGCGCGGGGAGGCGCTCGCCGCGTTCTTGCGGAAGGTGTAGCGGATCATGAGGTCCCACTTGGGGCGCGTCGGTGCAGGTTTGCTGCGCGGTATGCGGAGAGCGCTGCAGTTGAAGAATGAGTGGAAAGTATTTGTGAGGATGAGAGTTGGCAGAACCGTCTGTATAGACTGAGAACGTCTTTCTGCAAGCCGGATCTCCGGGCGGACATTGTTTGAAGCCCAGCCGTGCGTTGGTCCTTGGGTATTACCGTGACGGGAAGGCTCCGAGCAACAAGAACAAGCAAGCAACCGCCTCTCGTCCAAAGTGGCAATTGTCCCACGTTATCGATAAACGGGCCATATCGATGGAACCACCGCGTAGTCAAAAGGCAAAAGGCAAAAACATGGACGAGTGGAGAGTCGAACTCCAGACCTCCCGCAATCGAGTGATCTTGCGAGACAATGCGAAGCGGGCGCAATAACCAACTATACTACACGCCCGTGTTTTGGGGCGGCTTTGATGGCGTCTAGAGGTTTTTGCTTGCTGGGTTGAGATTTTTTCTCGAGAATATTTTTAAAAACCTTGATTTCTAAGCGTTAACGTTCAACGCGTGCATACGTTGTGTTTTCGAGATCACAGGGTTGTCTTAAGGAAAGAAAGCCCAAAATGTCACAGCGTGTGAATTTGGTGTGACCGGTTGACTTTTCACTCCTCACATGCTCTCGCTCCGCGCCGCGCGCCGCTACTCGTCGAGAGCGAGGCGATATTCTACGGCGCCTGAAGCCCCAACGGATCCGGCAGCTTACTGTCGGGAGCTGGTGCGCAAGCACGACTATGAGTCGTTCCTGATCAGCAAGTTCTGGCCCGCGGGACTGCAGGATGGGTACTTTGCAGTTAAGGCGTTCTCTGTGCGTGCTATGTAGCATTCAAACGCTGCCTAATTGTCCGCAGACAGAGCTGGCGATGGTGCAGGACAACGTGAGCGTCGCCACAATCGGAGCGGTGCGCATGCAGTTCTGGCGGGACGCGGTGCGGGATATCTATGCTGTGCGTAGGCGCGCGTTCTCCTGTGGGTTTGTGGCTGACGGTGAGGCAGGACAGGCCGCCTCGGCACCCCGTCGCGCTCGCGCTGCACAGGGCGACGCAGACGGCTAGCCTGCCGGCGTACCACCTGAAACGGATCGTCGACGCGCGGGTGAGTGGTACCCCGGCTCCGGGGTGGGACGTGGCTCACGCAGTCCACGTAGGACGAGGAGCTGCGCACGGCGTCGTACCCGACGAGTGCCGCGTTGGTGGCGCATGCGGAGGGTGTGTCATCGAGCGTGCTGTACCTGCTGCTCGCGCTGCGCGGCCTCGGCGCGTCCGAGTCGCTCGCGCATGCAGCGTCGCACCTGGGGACAGCGCAGACGCTCGCGACGCTACTGTGGTCGCTACCGCACCACGTCGCACAACGGCGGCTGCCGATCCCGCTGGAGATCTGCGCGCGGCACGGGGTGAAGCAGGAGGAAGTGTTCCGGCAGGGCGGGAGCGCGGCGGGGGTGGATGCGGCGGTATATGAGTTTGCGGTGCTGGCGAACGATCACCTGCTGACGGCGCGGGAGGTGTTCAAGGAGACTGGGGGGCGGGTGCCAGGCGGAGCAATGCCGGTGTTCCTTGCGGGGGTGCCAGTTGCGAGCTTTCTGGCGCAGCTTGAGCGGGTAAACTTTGACGGGTTTGCGCGGTCGCTGGCGCTCCGGGATTGGAGGCTGTCATGGAAGATATGGAGCGGGTACTATCGGCGGATATTCTGAAAAACGGATACTCGGGCACCACATTCAAGCTTCCCCGATTAGGACGCGCTACGCCTCCGGCCCGAATGCGAGTAATCTCGGACGGAGTTGGAGAAATCCGAACAAAACGAGTTCAGTCTCCATCAATACTTACAGCTGGGCGCTGAGCGAAGGCTGACCTGTTATTTATACCGACCCTCTGCCCTGAATTTATGGGTCCACGTCACTTTCTCGGCCCAGTTTTGTCGCCGACTTTGTGTGTTTCAATTCTTGTCGTAATGCAACATGCTCTTTGCTTTTACAATGGGTTTCCCTTAACATGTGTTTACGGGAATACCCGATTAGGATATACTACGCCTCGCGCCCAGTGCAGCAATAAATATCGTATCCTATTATTTGGCTTCCATACAGTCCGAGATAAACGCGAGTGGTCAGGGCCAGGGTGAGGATCCGTTTCAAGCGTGTTTGATAGATGATACTTGTGAATTGCCAGTGTGACCGGGCCGAGTTTGCGATCTGGTTACCACTAGTACTGGTTCTCTCTTACCGCCATTCTCTTTTGACGGCGATGTCTCTGCACGCTTTCCCAAACGAGGTCCTCCAGCTCATCTTCTACGACCTCGACGACCCCACAGCTCTCACCCGCACATCCCGCCGTCTCCACGCCTTCTCCCAGGACCCCTACGTCCGCGCCCACTACTTTTTATCTCGCTACGGCCACCTCCAGGCCCTCTACTATGCTCTCGCCCGCGGAAAGCTCATCACCCCCCGCGTCCTCGATGTACGTCTTACTCTCGCTCAATCTCTCCTCTCCTCATTCCTACAGATCCTCCTCGCCAGTGGCGCACATCTCTCACGTTACCTCATCCAAGTCGCCTTCCACCACTTCTTTTACTCCCAGTCCCACTTCCTCAAAGCTCCCTGGGTTCGCCATGTCCCCCTCGCCACCTTTGCCTACTTTCTCAATCTAGCCGCGGACAAGTACGGCGATATTCCCCGCGCCAAGGTGCGTGCCTCATTAACCCAATCCATTCTGGCTAAACTCGCCCAGGGCGAGGACGACGGCGCGCTTTTTGCTTCCTTTATTAAAGAGTCAAAGATGCCCCCAGAGTCCCAGCGAGTGTCGTGGGAGACCATCCGCGACATCTTCGAGAACTACCATGTGAGTCCTCAACTCTTTAACAGTCAAATACCAACTCCTTTTATAGTTTATTCCCTTCTGTACGCGGGACCCCCTCATGGCGCAGTTCCCCCTCGCCCTTGCCATCGAACCGCGCTTGCTGCCATATGCGGTCGCAAACGGCTTCCAAATGGATGCAAAGTACCGCGACTTTGTCTTCCGCAAGATGTTCGAGCGCATGCCCGCCCCCAGCCACGCCCACGCGGAGGAGATCGTCGCGAATGTCCGCGAGCTGTGTCGCCTCGATCCCGAGTGCGTGCTCCGCCCGTGAGACTTTATTAATTAGTTCCTGATGGATACGCGCAGGATGTTCGTCACGCGTACCGTCGCAGCCGAGGTCTGCCTCGAGGCCAAGACGAACGACGCCGCGTACATGGCGCTGAAGCAGCTCGACCGCGCGGGGGACTTGGCATTTTCACTCGCGTACGTCGGCCCCTCATTTACCTCTAATTTAGTTTAATTTAAGTTTACAGAGAACTTGTCAAGGACGTGATAAAGGTAGATATATGTATTTACACGGATGGCCCACGCGACTGACGACCGCCCGCAGCTCTTCCTCAAGGCGCGCGCGATCACGACGCCGGCGACGACGCAGATCCTTACGCAACTGTACACCGACTTTCTCGCGCCGCCTCCGGTGCCTATCGTTTTTGCTTCCGGCTCACGTAGCTCTATTTCCTTGTCGTCCCGCGCTCAGCACGCCCCCGTCGATCCAGTCGTCCGCCGCGCCATGCTGCTCACCGTCTTTGCCGCCGAACCCCCCGTCCCCGTCAGCGCGATGGCCGCGCGCCTCGCGGCACTGCGCCTTGGCCCACTCACGCTTGCAGACGCGGCAGACATACTCCTGAGCGCGTTTGTCGAGAAGCTGACGCCGGTGGTGGACTACCTGCGGCGCGAGGGCGTGGCGGCCGAGCTTGGCACGTCACAGGTCTATAATGGGGCCCAGGGCACGCGGAAGGTCACGCTAGCGGAGCTGCGCACGCTCGCGGAGGATGTTGCGGTGCGCTGTCTCACCCGCGAGGGCAAGGGGCGGACGCTGAAGCGGCTGTGCGAGGCGTATCCGAGCGTGAAGGGGCGGATTGTGCAGGCGGTTTTGGGGGAGTATCAGGTAGAGGTGGAGGACTTGGGGGAGACGGAGGCGGGAACCTCCTGGCGCGCGCGGCTGGCGCGAAGCATGGGCGGGATGGTCGTGTATGAGGGGGCGGACAACGAAAGCGATTCGGAACGCGAGAACGACGTGGACGACGATGACGACGACGAGGAAGAAGACGAAGACGATGAGTTGGATGAGGACAGCGAGAGCGAGCTTGAGATGTGGGGCGGGAATGGTGGGAGGAAGGCTGAAGATGCCAAGGAGAGTCAGAAGCGCGACCTAGGCAGCATCGGGCTCGAGCCGCTCACCACGATGATCCGCCGGGACGAATTCCAGGGCGCCCGTGGGCGTCGTCGGTATCATCCCGTGATCTACGGCTCGACGACCGCCATCAGTTCGCGGCTGCCGCTGGGTGAGTTTTTTCGCGAAATAAAATTTCCTTATGAATGGTCTAATCGCATTTGTATGGCAGAGGCTCATTCGGTGGCGCGGTGGATCAAGACCGAGTTTGGCACGCACAGCAGCATCACAGCGACATTCCTCATGCATGCGATTATCAATGGGAATAGTTCGGTGCGTTGTCGGTGGGCGGGGACACTTTGGGACGCCACTAATTGAGACGCGATCAGGTTCTGAGCACCTATCTCGGGACTGTGCCCGTATCCAATCCTGTCGCCATTACGCTCCGACACTTCCAGGTGCTGGCCCGGCTCGGCAGCTCATCGATGGTAAGCAGTTGCGGCTTGTGTGCGCTGATGTGTGCTGACGCGTGGGGAACCAGGATTTCTACCTGTACGAGCGCATCAAACAAGGCGCACCGTTCTACGCGACGGAGGACGACTACCTCGGCAACACGGACTCGGCCCGGCATTTGTTCAAGAAGCTAAACAAGGGGAAGAGTAAGGAAGTGCCGCCCGCGTCGCCCACGCGCATCATCAAGACGGAGCCGGTTGAGCTCCTCGCGGGGTCGCCACGCGGGAGGAAGCGCCCGCGCCGCTCTGCGGCGACGGCGGTCAACTCGTATGCGGTGCCCGACTCGGACGACGAGGCGATCGCGGCTGCGGAGGATCGTGAGGACGAGTTTGCGGAGTTTCGCATGGGTGGGGGAGGCGTGAAGAAGAAGACGGTGAGGGTGGAGACCCATTTGGAGCGCTGGGTCAAGGCCCTGGGGGAGCTGCTGAAGGAGGAGCAGCGCAAGGTACGTTTGGGTGTATCGTAAGGCGCAGGTGCTGACGTGTCGCAGTACCGGGAGAAGAAGAAGCGCGTGGAGAAGGAGAGGGCCGCGGGGCCTGGAGGGAAGATGCGTATCTCGAAAGTGCGTGTGGTGGGTGCTTTGTTGGGTGCGCTTTGCTAACAGACGAAATCGGTACGCAGAGCGATTTCTTCCGGTCGCTGACGACGAATCTACGCATCCTGCGCGAGCTTGATGCGGAGAAACGCATGTTCCGCGTTGCGGCG